ACGGATCAGCTCCAAGCATGATGAAGCGGTTATCGTCCTCTTTTGGAAGGTCAAACAAAGTAGTTTCGCTTTCACAATGAATCACACAGTGCCTTCACGACATGGCAGCGGCGGCAACAACAATACTACAGCGAGAATAAAAGTTACGGCTTCTTTCTTTGCATGAACATTTGGGCGGCGTTATGCAAATCTTCCCACATCGTGACGTAGATATGTGGGGGCGTGTTAGAACGAGCCGTTTTAGGTAGGCGTGGTTGACTCTCAACTTTTATAAAGAATATCTCTTTGAATTTGAGACTTTAGTCTTTGCAACTTTACAGATCTTCTTTATGCACCAAGAGCTTGTAACACTCCAAAAAGAAAGGAAAAATTTAAATCGTATCATATGACCCCTTTAAAAAAAAAAAAAAAAAAGCTCCAAACGTTTGAACATTCACACTTCACCCCAAAATCCAAAAAGAAAGTAAGAACTTATATTTGGTAATACAAAAAAAATTTTTTATCTATCATTTTTAGGACCATCACTTTTTTGCATTTCTATATGTTTTTGCTTTTGCTTTTGCTTTTTACTATAAGTTTTTTTTAATCCAACCATAAAATCTAATTATCATCATGCATTTGGACATTTTTTGTAGACCTAATTCTCAATAATGATTTTCATCAGATTATCATCACTGTAATAGAATTATTTGATTTGAATCAGCAAATATAAAGCCATCACATTTTTTTTTTATTTTGCATTACAGTAATGAGAATGTATGAAAACCATGAGAGCTGAGTGGAAAATGGCATTACATTACATTACATTCAATCCGAGCAGCTGAGTCCTTAGCCATCTTCAAGAATCGGCTAAAAACACATCTCTTCCATCTTTATTTGACCCTCTAACTCTAGCACTCTCTATTCTAATTCTATTCTATTTCTATTTCAATAATATTCTATTTCTAATTCTATTTCCCAAAAAAACTTGCCCCTTTTTAAACTTTCACTCTATTCATTTACTAACTGCTTGTTTTCTTTAAAAAAAAACTAACACTAGCTTCTCTATTCTTTTTGTATTCTATCAGTTTTCTTTTTATTTATTATACATTAACAAAAAGCAAAAAAGGCCTCTAACACTAGCTTGTTCTATTCTTTTTCTATTCTATCGGTTTTCTTTTTATTTATTATATAATAATAAAAAAAAAACCTTGCTACGTGTGCTGTGTTAAGCTAACTGAGACTTGTTACAGCACTTGTATATTATTGCTCTTTTGTTGATTTTGATTGCTTCTATTGTCCTCATTTGTAAGTCGCTTTGGATAAAAGCGTCTGCTAAATGACTAAATGTAAATGTAATGTAAATGTAACATTTGCATCAAACTTAAGTCACAAAGCAGAAAATCTTAACAGACTTTTAAAAAGCTTCATTTTCTTTAAAGGGGTCATATGATGCTTTTTTAAAGATCATGCTGTTCTGTTGTAAGTAATCTTAAAGATTCCTAAATGCATCTACTTCCGGAAGGCCAAATAAAGTGCTTTTGCTTTCGCCTAGAAACACACAGCGTCTCCCTGACATGCTGCTTCAACACTAACTGCTGTTACTGAAACCACGCCTTCTTTCTTTGAGTGCACATTTGGGCCGCATTATGCAAATATTTCCACATAGTGAGGTAGATATGTGGGGGCGTGTTAGAATGAGCCGTTTTAGGGGGGCGTTGCAGAGTCTTAACTTTGATAAAGAATATCTCTTTGGTTTTGAGACTTTAGTCTTTGCAACTTCAGGGATCTTATCTATGCACAATCAGCTTGCAACACTCCAAAGAGAAAGGAAAACTTGAAATCGCATCATATGACCCCTTTAAACAGTATATTTATCATTTCTTTCATTGATGAAATGAGACCCTTGACTTGAAGAAAAAAAATCAAGGAAAGCAAAAATGTTCAAAAGTGCTATATAAAACAACACAAAACCCCAAACATGGTGCGCACATTATTTTTTTGTTTGTTCGCAGAAGTCAAAAAGTGCACAACAGGGGTCGTGCAAGACTGGATTAACTATCGGCTGCCAAGTTCTCAGAAAGCTGCTTTGACCTTCTTCCTGTGGGGCCTGGAATTTACAAGGTCTGAGCACTGGTCCTTGAGAGCCGGAATGTGGAAAGACGAGCGAGCTTCCTACAGACTGTAATTAAAGCCTGGATTTATATGCCTGTGCATGATGCCACATGTTAAAGCTTCAACCACCAGCTATGTGTGATAGCTGCCCAGACCGACAGCATGATATAACCACCAGCGGACAACACGGTCATCATTACTCAGCTCAGAACATGAAAACAACATTACTATAATCTCATCCTCATTTCTGATAATAGAATGCCTACTTTGTGCTACAACCAAAAGTTACAGAATCAATATTATCCGTTTTGATTAAGTTAGTTGACCATTTTTAAAGAATTTTCATGAAAGGAAAGGTTAATTTCTAAATTGATATTATTATTTTAACATATAAAGCATTTTGATTGAGGGGACCCCCAAACGTAAAGAAACTACAGCCAATCTCAAAAAATAAGGTCTATATGAACTAGAAAAGAAGCACTACTTGGAAAAAGCAACAAAATCCTACAAAAGGAAATCTATGATTACTGAAATAAATAAATACATAAATACATCATAGAACAACTCTTAAAGGAAAAGTTCACCCAAAAATGAAAATTGGCTGAAAATACTCACCCTCAGGCCATCCAAGATGTAGATGAGTTTGTTTCTAAATCAGAACAGGTTTGGAGAAATTTAGCATTAAATCAAATGCTCGCCAATGGAGTGAATGGGTGCCATCAGAATGAGAGTCAAAACTACTGATAAAAATGACACAATAATCTATGACGTGCATTCAGTCCATCAATTAAAATCTTGTGAAGTGAAAAGCTGCATGTTTGTATTAAACAAATCCATCATAAAGGCATTTTAAACCATTACTTCTGGCCAAAATACAAGTCCATAATCCATAATAACACTTCCTCCAGTCCTGTTTTCCTCTCACATTAAAAAAACCTCAGACAAGTTTGTTTAGAACTGGTTTGGACTGTTTTCACTTGTAAATGGTGCTTGATCTCTGCATATTTCTCCCGTTTCAGACTAGACTTTTTCACCGGAGAAAGCAATATTGTGGATTATGGATTTGTATTTTAACCAGAACAACTTCCATGGTTCCTACCTTAATGTTGAATTTGTTTATTACAAACATGCAGCTTTGTGCTTTACAAGATGTTTACTGATGTACTAGAGTGGTGTGGATTATTGTGATGTTTTTATCAGCTGTTTGGACTCTCATTCTGATGGCACCCATTCACTGCAGAGGATCCATTGTTGAGCAAGTGATGCAAAATTTCTCAAAATTTGCATGAGAAAACCAACTCATCTACATGTTGGATAGCCTGAGGGTGAGTCAATTCTCAGCAAATTTTCATTTTTGGGGTGAACTGTCCCTTTAAATGAGTATCACCAGTCATCATGTATGTGGGATCATAACTTCCACTCAGAGAACAGAACACAACACACACTATTTATTGGTTGAAACGTCACAGGTAACACATATCTATAATGTTCAACCAGGAGTTGCAACAATCATCTTTTTATCTAATACTGTACAAATTAAACAGCTGTTTGAATCATTTAAGGTGCAAAAAACTACCAAATCCCAAAACATCTCATGAAAATGTGTAAAAAATTACACTGGTAATCAGTAGTGGACAGAAACGGAGTAGTTTTAATTCGTTACTGTACTTAAGTACATTTTTCAAGTATCTGTACTTTACTGGAGTAGTTTTATTTTGAGTAACTTTTACTTCACTACATTCCAAAGCATAAGATCGTACTTTTTACTTCACTACATTTCATCAAAAATATCGTTACTCCTTATAATATATCACGTGCTCTGACATGCAGAAGCGGTGTCTGATTCAAGAACGAACTGATTCTTTTCAATTAACCTTTTAAATCGGTTCGCAAATCACACCAAACGATTCATTCACGAAATAGAATGAACCGATTGCAGCTGTTCTCGAGTCGACAACTCACTGATTCAAATGAACCGTTTAGTGTGAGTCTCCAGTGAACTGAATTCACAAGTAAGAACCGCGCGCGCGACTGATGCTGCTAAATTGACTCCATATAGTGGTTATTTTGGGAAAATCCCAGGTATTTTGAGCAGTAGGATTATAAAAAAATATGTGCTCATATAAAATTAAATTAAGTAGCCTATATAAAATTGCAAAATCAATCTATCAGTACTTTTTTTCTTAAGTACATAAAAAATCGAGTACTTTTGTACTTTCACTCGAGTAGAATTGAAAAAGGGAGTACTTTTACTTTTACTGGAGTAATATTTTATTATATGTATCTGTACTTTTACTCAAGTACTTGATTTGTGTACTTCGTCCACCACTGTTGGTAATGAAAACTGATATACTGATCATAGTTGACCCTGTCAACATGTCAAACTGTGTCAACTCTGTTTCCAAAAAACTGCTGCAGTGTCAACACACTCTCTCTCATACTCATATACAAACATATACATATATTATGATAACAAGCTGTAGTTTATTATGATTTTAATAACATTTAAAACATTCTTTTACTGACAGAACGCTCAAAACTTTTTAAATATCACTTCAAAATCAAATTTTCAAAATGATAAAAGCGCACATTTTATGGAATTACCATTACATAGTCCAGCCCAAAATGCCTTAATTATAACCTAAAATATGTTAGCTTATTAAAAATCTATCTTTATGATTCTCCATAACCTGCAGGTATGAAGAAAACGCATAAAATGAAACGTGACACAACTAACGTTACTCCGAAACGAGTTGCGATTCAACACACACACACACACACACACACACACACACACACTGTTTTGATTGTTTCATCTGATCGCGCACAAGTTTCTTTCTCTTACTGAAGCGATCAGTGAATTTAAGGATAAAATCACTGGAGAACGCATGCGAATCGTCGCTCACCTCTCCGCAGCTCCACCGCGATCGGACGCACCGCTCCGGACTTTATTCCCGTTGGAGAGCGCGCCAAAGACGAATCCACTCGCCGACGGATTCCGCCATACTGGATTGTGGCGAGCGGATCACGTGTCGAGTCCCCGGCGCATGTCCTCCAGAGGCGGGCGCTCACAGTCAGTCGAGCCCGCCGTCTTCATGTTCTCACATGGGATGGGAAGACCTGAACGATTCCGATTCCTTAACAGTGCCACTAACGATTCTTTTGAGGAACAACTATTTGAAATAGGAAATGGAGTTCTTGTATAGGCCTATTGCATCCCTTTGCATTCGTATTAGCCTATAGATCATTACAGATTTCAACATATATCAGCCTTCAGCCTGAGGCTTATTCATTTCACTTTTGGTGTGAAAAGGCTTTTATATTTGCCAAAAATATTAAAAAAATTTTTTTAAATCAAACAAGCAAGCCCTGTCCAGATTTTAAAAGTAATGCAAAAGTAACGTAATGCATTACTTTCCATAAAAAGTAACTAAGTAATGTAATTAGTTACTTTTTTATGGAGTAACGAAATATTGTAATGCATTACTTTTAAAAGTAACTTTCCCCAACACTGGATATAACTAATAGGAAATAAATTTAATCTAATTCTTTCAAAATGGCTGTCGTGACTTTCTAAAGGCGCTATAAATACAATAATTGGTCCTAACTATAATGTTAAAAAACAAACCTATAATATTTACTTTTTTCATTCACTTTTATAACGTACCACTGACTACAACAAAACTCATGTTGTATATCTTTAACTACACATATCAACAACCAATCATCTGAATTAAGTTTCAAGAATAGGCTATATCAACTGTTCTTTAGAATCCGACATGACGAAAATAATACTCGATAAATTTATTAAATTCATTCAGCAACAGCAAGGCGATTTATGTGTTTAGGTGTTTTCATTCACTAAAAAGAACAGGTTCGTTCGGCAGTCGGTGGCGTCGACTCATAAGAGTCATTTATTCAAGAATCGAACCAAACTGTTGATGCTGTATGTTTCTGATTCACTAAAAAGAACTGATTCTTAAGAGTCATTGATTCGGGAATCCAACTTCACTTGTCGCTGTAGGCTATGTCCCAACCTGTAGATTCAATAAATTCACTGCATGTTAGCGTATAAAAAAAAACATAAAAATAAACATGAAATAAACTTTATTGTTGATAGCTACACAAACATAAATATAAAAACAAAGATTTGTTCTTTGAATTGTACTTTGTGCCTACACTCTAAAAAATGCTGGGTTAAATACAACCCACTGCTGGGTAAAATATGGACAAACCCAGCAATTGGGTTGTTTTGACCCAGCGGTTGGGTTACTACCCAGAAGGTTGGGTTCAACATTTAACCCAACCGCTGGGTCAAAACAGCCCAATTGCTGGGTTTGTCCCTATTTTACAATTTTGGATTGCTTCCATTGTCCTCATTTGTAAGTCACTTTGGATAAAAGCATCTGCTAAATGACTAAATGTAAATGTAAATCTCTCTTTCTTTCTCTCTTACACACACACACACACACATCTGTTCTCAGCTGAATGTGCCTGATAGTGCTTGACCGTCATGTGAATGTAAAATAATGTTGTGGTGGCCGCTGTTTCTCAGGTTGCCCCGTCTAATACTCAGAGGACTATAGAGTTTCATTGAGTACAGAGATCCACTGATCATTTAGATTGTCTTGTATGATGCCAAGCAAATGGGCCTTTTTGTGTCCTAATCCTCACATATACACGCAGGGCCGTCCTTAGCGGGGTGCAACTGGTGCGGTCGCACCGGGCCCCACGCTTGAGGGGGTCCCGCGGCGAACGGACCGAGGGGGGCCCCGCTCCCTACCTCGCACCGGGCCGCTGTATACACGCTTTTTTCCCCTATGGAACACAATAGGACACATTTTTACACAGCTCTTTTATATTCAAAGACGATTTATAGTGACCACATCTGCCAAGCTCTAAGTAGGCACATGCACCACTAAACAACACTAAAGGCTTTTACCTTAGTATTTAAATCACAGATTTCCCTCACCTCTTGAATACATACTGTTTATTGACACTTTTTTATATTTCGTCTACTTAATGTTTATGAACACCTTTTAATAAATAATAATATAATAAAATATGATTGTTTTCAGACCCTATATAAAGCACAAATACACACAATATTTTGCACTCTTTTTTTATTTCCGTGTACTTAAAACCATATATATATTTCATATTTTTTGTTATTAATTTCAGGCCCTATTTTGCACCCTGTTCATGTAAAATGCCTATTACTATAAATAGTACTAGATTCTAGTACTAGTACTAGATGAGCCTTAATAAAACATGCAGATTGTGTTATTCCTGTGGCTGTAACGCTTGCTCAGAGCGAGCTGTTTGGCAGAATGATCTGCTGCAGTTTGCGCATGAGTGTCCTGTGTTTAGCAACAGAATTTCAAGCCATTACACCTGGCTTGGTGACAATAATTATCACTTCCAAGCAAATGTAACTAACCTAATTACTGTCTACAGAGTTGTCAAGCTTCAAAAGCTGAACATGAAAACAAAAACAAGAGGGCAAATTAGCTCAGTTAGATGCCAAGAGGAAAAAGCACTGTGCTGTTGTTATGATACGAGTTATTTTTCACTTCTTTATGACTTTCCTCCTTTCATCTTTTCTCTGTTCTTCATCAGAAGAACTGCAATCACACTCGACCACAGAAGAAAACATTCTGCAGCAAACTGATAGAAACAGAATCCTTCTACTGATAAAGCCAGCCAGATGCTTCTGTGATGACAATCAGCTGTGCACTTTTCTGTTGATGGAGGCAAAACACACACCAAGTCTTATGGAGGTTTTTGATCCACTAAAGTCATCTGCTGGATCTGCGTCTCTCCATCAACGGCACTTTTAACTGTTCAAGATGCTTTGAGGTAGCTAATGTTGAGCAGCATAACTGAGGTTTGGAAACACTTACTGTGGTCACTCCAGTGTCTAGCGGTGCCATGGGAATAGAGCTTCGTTTCTGTGGTATTAGTGCAAAAGAAAACATTACAAAGGCCATTGTGAGAACAAAGCTTTTCTTGTGCCGTTTAAAGGAATAGTTCAACCAAAAATGAACGTTGTCATCATTTACTCGCCATGTTGTTCTGTCCCCATAATTTCTTCCATTAAATGCTACAGCAGTCCGAACGGTTATTTTCCACACAACAACAAATCATTGTGACTGCGACTTTCAAGCTCCAAAAATGACAAAACGCAACCACCACAGTATTCTGAAAATATTCAGTACAACTTGTGTACTATATTCCAAGTCTTTTGCAACCATGCAACAACTACCAAAAATTAAAGCTGTCATTCATTGATAATCTTCCTTGTGTTCAGTTCAAAAAAAAAAAAAAAAAAAAGATATTTGAAATATATATTTTTTTAATTTAAAGGGTCGTTCACACAGAGACACGGGCAGTGGAATGGAGAAAAAGCACAAGGCCATGAAAAGTTGAACTTCTTTTAATTTACGCCATGTTTTTAGAATGCCATAATGTGCAAGACGCTGTAAAAGACAAAAGACATGAGCGCAATTGTCAAACACATCCGTCTAGCAAATTTACATTTACAATGGGGAATGTTGTTTTGAAATGTCTCCTATCAGGGTTGCCAGGTTTTGACAACAAAACCTGCCCAATTGCTACTCAAAACTAGCCCAAAACTAGCCCAATCGCATTTTGAGGGGTAAAATACACATTCCACTGGTAAAATTTGCATTCCAGGGGCTAAATATCACGTTATTGGGGTCGCTTTAACCTGCGGACATGAAAAATAACCTGCGGCAACAGCGTTAAAGTAGCCCAATTCCATGGGAAAACTGCAGACTTGGCAACACTGCTCACCAAGGCTGCATTTATTTGATCAAAAATATAGTAACAATATAATAACAAGCAATATTCTGAAATATTATTAGAATTGAAAATAACTATTTTCTATTTGTATATATTTTAAAATGTAATTTATTCCTATGATGCAAAGCAGAATTTTCAGTATCATTACTCCAGTCTTCAGCTTCACATGATCCTTCGGAAATTATACTAATATGCTGATTGTCTGCTCAAGAACCATTCGTATTATTATCAGTGTTAACTTTAAGAATAAACCACATTACAAAACACATTACAAATCCTGACGCTGTATTTTTCCCCCAACTTGCGGCAATGTCAGTTCATTCAGAAAACAAAATGATCTCACCCAAAGTGTTTCTGCTTTTCTGCACTTTGTGCTCGAGCTCTCCAGGTAGTAATTAGATTACAGTGAATCCAGGAATTTGTTTACATTCAGAAATGAGCCTGTCACTTTTTTAACTGCACGCTGCACTTTTGGGGCCCATCTGCCATTTGTCACTGTAATTAACCAGAGAGACTGAACTCCGAGCACGTACAGCACATGATTATGTACCTCGCGCCTGAGAGCGGAGGAGAAGCTCAAACGTTCTCTCGATTAATAACACCGGATGTGGGAGCTTCAGACCGATGAATCTCTGATCCAGTAAATGTCAGTGTTATGCAGAGCAGCCACATCACAGACAACAACGGCTTTTAGCGTCTGACCATATAGGTCACCGGAGATGGCGGGCGGGGGTTTGCAGGGGAAACGCATGCATTGGGTGGAACGAGCTGATAAACCGCTGTCTGTGCCACACTATTCATCTCTGCTTTGCAGGGGCCGTATACAAACCCCATTATATTGTGGTAATTGTGGAAGAATTCATATAGTTTCAGCTGACAGACTGTAAGCTTTCATTGAAGAATTGCTCATTGATCAGACTATTTGTAAGTTGTAGAGATCAGAGGGTTAAAGCCAGAGGCGGACAGTAACTAAGTACATTTACTTGAGTATTGTACTTAAGTACACTTTTTGAGTATTGGTACTTTACTTGAGTATTATTTTTTCTGGGAACTTATGACTTTAACTTCACTACATTTGAAAGACAAATATTGTACTTTTCACTCCACTACATTTCTATCAAGGTCCTCGAAGTAGAAAGTCGTTACTATGTAGCAGCTTTGAAAGTCAGTGGGTGATTTTTTTCTTCTCTAAAACATGACTTTCTTTTTTTCAGACAGTTTATCAGTAATCAC